TCATGTTTGGCCTGTCAGAAGGCCAAAGTCGGACGGCACAACAAAACCCCCATTGGCGCTTTTCTCGCACCCGACGCACGTTTTTCACATGTTCATATCGATCTGGTAGGTCCATTTCCAACATCTCGTGGTTGCAACTACTTACATACTGCGACTGACCGATTTACTCGTTGGCCCATTGCAACTCCCATACCTAACATAACTGCAGATTCCGTTGCTCATGCTTTTTTTGGAACACTGGATCTCTCATTATTGCGTCCCTTCAACAATTACCACCGATCGAGGTCAACAATTCAAGTCTAGACTTTTTAACAGCCTAACCAACCTCCTCGGATGTTCTCGCATACGCACGACAGCATACCACCCCTCATCCAACGGTTTAGTAGAGCGTTTCCACCGGCAACTCGAAGCCTTCCCATTGGAGCGAGCATCTGCCTATGGTCATGCTCGGTAGCCGTTCTGCACTCAAGCCCGACTTGGAGTGTTCCGCTGCCGAACTTGTCTACGGTACTACCGTACGGATTCCAGGTGGTTTCTTCGGGTGCTCTCAAAGCTCAACCGACTTGGATCCCAGCGATTATGTGCAAAGATTGCGCCAAGCCATGACTCATCTTCGAGCCACTCCTCCACGTCCTTCAACAAGTAAGTCGTACGTCGACCCAAACTTGCTAACATGTTCTTTTGTATTTGTCCGCGTAGATAGCGTTCGCCGGCCACTTCAACAGCCCTATGACGGCCCATTTCGAGTACTATCGCGCAAGGACAAGCACTTTACAATTTATCGTGGAGACCGCACCGACGTGGTCTCAATCGATCGCTTGAAGGCGACTTATACACGTTGAAGGCGCGCAGCTCAATTTCAAAGATAAGTGAAGCTCTGCATTTATCTGGATATTCTTAAGTAATTAATGCCTGTTTTTTACTCGAGTCCGTTTTACAAGTCGCCTTTCTATATGAGGTAAAATTTTTTCCCAGTTTGTTTGACAGTCTGGCAAAATAGTCGTATTTTGTGAAAAAATACATTGTAGTGAATCCTTTTCCCTACTACCGCTTTCTAGTTTTCGGAGTTAAAAAAACAGTAACACTTGCTACTCAGTTCACGTTTCCGTACGTTGGCAAAGTTTTGATCTTTCTCCTGTAACAAAAACTTTTCTTTTTGTCTGTAATGCCCCGCAGAGCAGGTGCTAAAAGGCGAAAGCTTGCGGCCTCCCCACCGTCTCCGAGGGCTAAAATCGTGACTGAAGACATGGAAAACGCCAGCGAATGTTCTTCGCCGTCTGCAGATCTGATTAACTCACAAATCCCTTTAGTACATGTAGAACCTCTTGACCATTCAGTCGTCCAAAATACGCCTCTGCCAGTCGTAGCAGTCCCTCAGCCGGCGAAATAATGGATCAGCTGATGTATGGAGACATAAACAGCACTTCTGAAAAAGTGCTTGAACAAGCTTTTAAACTTATTGGGGTAATAAGCTCGGAAACTGAGGAACGAATTAAACGTCAGCATAATTTCGTACTGCAAAACATTCCGAGCCACTTATCTGCTATGGAGGGAGCGCATTTGTTCCAACAAAGTAGTGGCTTGAGGTTTAGTGTCGCTCAGTGACTTCGCCGGCTTAGTCGTAATGCGCCGATACTAGTTACCCTTTTCTCCATGATAGAAGTCGATTTTATCTTGTCGAGTAGGGAGATGACTAGAGACCTCTGCCTTAAATGGCGCTGCTCCGTTTCGCCAGAGCTCACACCCGCGCAGCGAAGACTGAATAAACTAAAATCGGCAAAAACCAACACCAAGATAATGACACCTACTGTCAGTCTGAATATGTCCTCTACAACACCATCTGCGGCATCTGCGCATCAGGGCATAGTCAATTCCGTACGAAATTCGACTATTTCTTATGTTGAGCTCTTTAAACATACCACCGCGCCTGGTATAAACACACCTCTATCGACTCCCCCAACAACTCCTAGTAAGCCTTAGCATGTGTCTTAGTCAAATGCAAATCCAATTGTTGTCTCAGCCACTGGGACACCCAATAAATCCAGAACCATTATAAAATCTTTTCCTTCACAGTCGGCTATCAGTGCCTCAAATACCCCGACTCAAAACGAAGCGGGTTCACAAATGTACCCCAGCCCTCATATCAAGGCAGTTAGGCTGAATATGCCGATTTTCCCACCGTTTAATAGACCTCTTGTTCCAATGGAAGCAATGCGTCCCCACCCCCTAACTTGTTTCCTCCACGGCCGTTTTACCAATTTATTCCTCATGATAATGTCCATACTGAATCAGTTAATTCATCCGATCCTCGGTTTCGTCCCAGCGGGAATACGTTGCAGTATCTGCCCCGCGGATTTACAGCAGAAACCCTGTCGGACACCAGACCGAATACCGAGAGGTTGAGAAAGATTGTTGCGAACCGGGACTCTCGCGTTAGTTCAGTTATAATAGACCTTGCTCAAGAGACGAGTGTTGGCGGTGCACAAGAATGCCTAAGCCGAAGTCGTCAGGAACTATCTCATTTCTCTACGCATGGAGCCATGAGTCCAGATTGTCAAAACATGACCTGTAGATTTATGCAGGTATACCGTCCTGCCCGGGTGCTCTGTTGTTGTGTAGGTTTCGTGTGGCATTGGCGACCTCTTCTTGGGAAGGCAGAACGCATGGAACTGCATAGGCTGGACGGAAGAAATTCTGAGCAAGAGGAAAAGAAGTGCGAGACGGGGTTGTATATCGAATTTGAGACGGTGCACAAAATGCTCAATTTAGCGCCCGAATTCGGTCTATTGTCAGAAATAAAGTCGCCATCTGCGTCGCGAACTGAATAAATTACTGTAGAGGGCCTACCATTAAACCGGTATTTTTTGCGTGTCAGCAACGTTAAAGGCGTGTTTCATGGTCGGTATTTAAGCTCAACATTGGTTCCGTCATCGCTGGGCGACGTTGTCGTCATCTTCCGAAATCGGAAAAAGAAATTATTATTACCTGACCTGTCATCAGCCGTCTGACTGACGTTTTTAGTGATAACAACTGATATTTGTTTGCTTTTTCCGTCGGCTGGATCATAAAACATCTACGCTTACTTTAAATAAGCAGTTGTCACAATTGCCACATGAGTTAAGGTCCCAGTATACATTTCTGTCTACAAGTTCAATTATAAGAAAAATGTATTTCTGTCGTCTTATATGAAATTCGAGTCGCAGAACGTAGAAAGGGATTATAGAACACCTACGACGAGCATGTTCACTTATCTTAAAGTGAAACATCGGCAACTTTTTAGATAACCTTTTCTCACCCATATGCATGGCGAATGAGAGAATGAGCAGACGCTCGAGAGCGATCTTGACTTCTTCACAAAACACAAACTAAATTCCTCAAACTAAGTCATTAGTAGTGAATTAGTGACAGTACTTTACTACAGCGGCTTGCATCTGTCTTCGTTACCTACATTCTCATCTTAAACACAATATTTCGAATGTAAATATCAGCCAATTTAAGCCAGTTTTTCTTCCTACTCAACATTGCCTCGCTAGCACTGTGCGGACAGCACCTAACTACTGCATATTCCAGTACTCGAGAATATTGACCAGGTCGTAAAAAATGATATATCGCTTTCAAGATTGATCTTCATTTAAAAATGAGATGTTGTCGCTGACGATGGGCTCAAGCATTAGTGTAAAAGGACTGGCGAAAAAGGTCGTGCTTTATCGATCGGTTTACCCATGAACATACAGGAGCGTTTTTGTGAATTGTCGCATCTAGGTGCATGGGCGAACTAGCTGGTTGTCTAGCGTCTAGGTGTGTATGGATGGAGGTTGTCTGCGTAGAGGTGAATAGGTGCATTTAGACGATGCAGACAACAGTCGTCTGGAAAGACGTGGCTGTAGGTAGGTTTAGTTGTGGGTTGAACAGATCTGACAACACGACTCCACCTGACCTGAGCTAGCCTGTGCTAGCAGCAGTGATAACAACAGGTGATAGCACTGTGTCACGCATACAAACGCTGATAACATCTGAGGCGAGCGCCTGTATTCTAGCCATCACGAAAGTCAGCTAGGGCTAACTAATTCAGCCGAGTAGGAATCCCGAGGGGATAAGTATATCGTTTAGATGGAAAGCATTTTAAATATCTTTTTTACATAATAATGAAACCAAATTCACCGAAGAATTATGTGTGATATATCACAGTAACGAAAGCACACAGTAGTAATGTGCTGTGATTCATAAGTTTTCATTAAACAAATTTCCTCCTCGGTATGCAATAGGCGTTTAGCATTTGATGAAGTAGTGCTAATAACTGTTGGAATGCGGGACGTATTGGTTTTAAAGTATTAAGCCAGTTTTTTCGGAAAATGTCTGAGTTGCAGACCGGGTAGGACTGTTAAGCAATGCAACTTGCATAATTTGCTTTCAACAAAAGCTGACTGGCTGAAAATGTGCGCCAAATACGTGTCCGCGTATCGGGGAGAATTTGCGCCTTACTGGCATAAACGGCACGGTGGGAAAACTGCAACATATTTAGTCCTCCGCGCACTACATGAACCAATAATAAGTGATTGCTTTATTGTATCTCGGTCCGTTGAAGCACACTTCTCTAGATTGTCGTGCAACGTATGCTACCCCTGATGAACATTCATCTTCTTCACAGTAATCAAAATTACTTAGAATTTTTATTCACTTACATTCGCCAATAGCTGCTTAATATTTGCGTACAGAAACCAGGTAGAAAAGACCCCTTTGATTATAGACATTACGTGGTTAGTGAATAAAGACTAACTGGATAATGCTACAAGTTGTGTAGATGAGCTGTCATATTAAGTTAGTTCCCTTTAAATTTTCCGATAAAATATTTTCAACTTAGTAGAAGAAATGCGCACGTCTGTGAGAGATGATCACAGGATGTCCACAATTATCAAACGACATTGTAGAATTATAGGCGGTCACACGTACAAAATTGTACCTGCTGTTCAGTCACAAAAAAATGCAAAGAAATAAATACTTCAGATGATCACAGAGCCAAGTATCCGCGAAAACGGGAAGTTCTCCACCACTCGCAGTTGGGTTCCGTTCACGCTGATTTGCGGCGGCGCGTTGGGGACTGTGGTTGAGTTGGGTGGCGGTTGGTGCATCACCACTGTCTTCTGCGTGTCAATGACCAGACCAAAGCTCTCGCAGGCGTCGGAGACCAGGTCCATGCCCCGTTGCATCTCCTCTTCCGAGGTGGTGTTCAGGGCGCAGTCGTCGGCATAGAGCAGTTCGTGAACGGTGGTTGTTGATACGCGCGATCGGAAGTGCATCCGCCGTTGATTCAGGATGTGACAGTCAGTCCTGTAGGCGATGCGGATCCCGGAGCGTTCGTCGCGGTTGGCGTCCATCAGCATAGCAGGGAACATAAAAATGAATAGGGTGGGCGCCAGTACGCAGCCCTTCTTCAATCCATTGGTCACTGTGAATGCCTCTGAGACAGGTCCATTGTCCGTGACTCGCGCCATCATATCGTCGTGCAGCTGACGCACCATATGAGTGAATCGCTCCGGACAGCCGCATTTCTGCCTGATCTTCCACAGTCCTTCACGATTCACCGTATCGAAGGCTTTCGTCAGGTCCACGAAGGTAGAGTAAAGTTGGGTCCGCATCTTCTGACACTTTTCCCGAAGTTTACGGGCGGCAAAGATCATATCCCTGGTCACAGGATGACCACGGAAGCCGCATTTGCTCTCCGGCAGTAGATCCTGTTCGAGATGGTTATTGAGGCAGTTGAAAAGGACGCGATCGAAATTCTTCTCGTCGACGTTCAGCAAGGAGATGCCGCGGTGATTATCGTAGAATTGGCGATTCAATATGCGCTTATAGAGATGCACGATGGTTGCATCTTTAAAATCTTGCGAAACTTCACCTTGGCGCTACTTCTCTTTGAAGATATATATATATATATATATATCTATATATATTGAAAGGTAGGCATCCCAAGAGATATAAGTTGGAAAGAGGTAGGTTCTTTGGGACAAGAGGGTTTATTGCGTAAATTTTCGACGCTGGTTCCCCAGGTCGTCGACAGACGCAAGCGGAAAGCAAATGTGAAATCAAGAAACAGTAAACGTCAAGAGTGCATTGCGTGTGCGCCGGTTGGCGGCCGTCGTGCGTCAATCTGAGCTGGTTGGTTCCCTTCTCTTCCATTTCTCCTTCAGGTTTCTGTACACGGCATCCAACTCGATATGACGGTTGATGCATGAGTCATCAGAGTGCATGGCCTCGAGGAATTCTCGGCCTTTCTTGAAAGGGCAGACCGCGACAACGCGAGCTTTGTCCCAAGCGAAAGTGTGACTGGTGTCCAGCGTATGCATGGCTAACTGAGACAGATGGTCTCGCCTCTTTACTGCCAACTGGTGCT